GTGCTTGAAGAACACGTAAATGTGCTTCTCCTTCAGGAACATATAGGCGTCCTTCAAAATATAATAGATTATTCTTGAACTCGAACTTAGAAGGATCATGAGACTTGGAAGAATTATTCTCGATATCATAAACAAGAGGGTCTGAGGACATACTGGACTGGATTTGCTTGAGAAAAGTTGAATCAACAGTCAATGTTGATTTCATTGCTCGGAGATGAAATTGCTCCGGTTTGAAGAGGACCATTTTTTATTGCTCAAAAGCTGTATCTCTTTCTTTTGGTGCAAAATAAGAACGTCTAGATAGGGCATCAGACAAACCTTGTTGTTTTCCTGGCCGATAAGTGATAATGAACTCAAATCTTGACAAAGACATACTCCAACGAGCTTGACGACGATTCAACACGCGTGCTGACATGAAATACTCGAGGTTCTTGTGATCTGTATACACAGTGACTGGACTAGAAGCGCCTTCTAGATAATGACGCCATTCTTGAAAGGAATCCACGATCGCAAGAAGTTCTTTATCGTGGATCTCATAATTGATCTCGGCTGCTGAGAATTTTCTTGAATGAAAAGCTATCGGATGAAGTTTGTCATCTGTTCCCATTTGTGATAAAACTGCACCCAAGGCAAAATCTGATGCATCTGTTTCCATAAAAAATGCCTTAGAAAAGTCAACACGTTATAAGACTGGTGCAGAGACAAACGATGTCTTCAAGGCTTCAAATGCTGCTTCCGCTTCTTGATTCCATTGGAATTTATCTTTACTAGTCAAGCGCGTAAGTGGAGCTGTAACTCGTGAGAAATCTTTGATGAAGATCCGATAGTAATTGGCAAATCCCAAGAAACATTGGACATCTCTTACTGTCCTTGGAATCTTCCAATCCATGATTGTTTGGACTTTCTTAGAATCCATCATGAGACCATCATTTGAAATGATGTATCCTAAAAAGTCAACTTGAGTAGTGTGAAATACACACTTTTTCATCTTGGCGTACAATCCTGCATCTCTAAGTTTTTGTAATACTTGACGAACATGTATTTCATATTCTTCGACGTTCTTAGAATAGATCAGGATATCGTCTAGATAGCAGACGACAAAATTGTCTAAGAATTCATGAAATACATCATTCATGAGATGTTGAAAAGTAGCTGGTGCATTCGTGAATCCAAAGGGCATGACATTATATTCGAAATATCCATACCTGGTTCAAAACGCAGTCTTCCATTCATCTCCTTCTTTGATCCGTACTAGATTATATGCTCCTCTTAGATCTATTTTTGTATAGATCTTAGCTTGATTCAACTGGTCAAGGAGTCCTGATATCAAAGATAATGGATACCTGTTCTTAATTGTGATCTTGTTGAGTCCTCGATAATCAACACACATTCGTAAAGATCCATCTTTTTTCTTTACGAATAGAATTGAAGCTCCTGTTGGAGATTTTGAATGGCGTATGAAATTCTTTGCTAAATCCTCGTCAATATATGTCTTGAGTTCAGCCATCTCATCTTGCGATAAACTGTAAATTGGTCCAAATGGTGGCTGAGTTCCTTCCTTGAGGTCGATTGAACAATCATATGGGCGATGCTGAGGAAGAATATCTGCATTCTTTTTCTCAAAAACGTCTTGATACTCCTGATATTGACTTGGAATACCACTTGAAGTCTTTACGTTTTCAGAAATAGGTGCAGCATAAATAGCAAAAGTTGATCCTTCTTTTGCTACGTGTATAAATGCTTTTGCACCTATCAGTACGGGTTTTACTATACTAGACTTATAATTTTTTACTTGGTTGGTAGAACTATTAATAACGCTCTGGAAAAAATCAAGTTTACGTAAATTCCAATCTATTCGAGGGTTATATTTTTCTAGCCAGGATAAACCTAAAATAACTGGATTGGACGGGGATTTAATTATGTTAAAAGCTATGTAGCTATCATGACCGTCTATTGTTACTTTTATAGGATGAGTTTCATGAGTGACATCTCCAGAAGACAAGGGACGACCATCTATGACTTCTACATGTACTAGTTTAGGTTTCTGTACAAAGGGTATTTTACGACTTTTAACAAATTGTTCATCTAAAAAACATGCTGAGGCTCCCGAATCTAATAAAGCAGAGGCTTTGTAATTCTTAGATCCTAAATATAAGTCTATTATAAAACAAGAAGAGGGTTTTGAGGAGAGGATAGGACCTTCATTAGGAATTGTACAAGGTTCCAGCTGCACAGTCTCTATTGTAGCTGGACGAATCCGTTTTCCGACATGTTGTCTTCTTTGACCACTGTACCCCTCATTTTATAGTTGCGTCGTTTCTTTGGACAATGTTGAGCAGTGTGCTTAGGTTCTCCGCAATATAAACATAATCCTTCTTGACGACAACGAATGTTTTCTTGCTCAGTTAGGGGTTTAAAACGTACCGCGTCAATTTGCATGTCTTCTACTTTCGAATGTACGTTTGGCAAAGATGTTGATGTTGCCATTGAGTAATAACGTTGAGGTTCCCGTGAATGATTTTCGGATCGAAATTTGAAAAGTCGATTATCACATTTTACCGCAAAATCGATTGCTTGACTCAAAGTTTGAGGATCAGGTAAGTTGAGCATCAATTTCTTTACTTCATATTGCAATCCATAAAGAAATTGATTGATGAGTGCAGCATCATCCCACTTGATGTCAATTGCAAGTTGTCGAAATTGTAAAGCATATACTATTACTGAGCGATTTTCTTGTCGCAGAATTCGGATCTTATTTGTTGCAACACGAGTTGCATCGTGTTCACCATACATAGATCGAAACTCTGCCAAAAAAACTTCCAAATTGTCCAATATTGGATTTCGTTGTTCAAGAAAAGACAAAAACCACGATAATGCAGAACCAGAAAGTAGAGTGCCAATAAACCTGACTTGTGATCCTGGAGTTGGATAGCTTTGCGGTTGAAGTTCAATTGCCAATTGTACTTGATTGATGAACCCTTGAAACTTTGATCTCGTACCATCAAATTTCTCGGGTAAGGCAATTCTTGGTTCTCTAGTGCTTACAGGGTGTTGTACAATTGGAGAAGGAACGTGATTTGTTGTAGATGTTGAAGCAGCTCCGATCATCTCTATATCCCCACTTTCTGCTATTCTTGTTCTTTCCTGTCTTGGTGAATTGAGTTGATGCATCGCAAGCATTAACTCCTTCATTTGCTCTTGCATTTGTGCCATTGCACTCTTCATTTCAACAAGCTCTGCCATAATGACACTAAGAAGAAAAATTTCTTTGATACTGCTCAAGACAAAAGAAAAGAAAGACTTGATAACAAAGAAGATACTAAGAACAATATCAGTTTAGAAGTGGGTAATCCGCAAACTTCTAATACGCATATGTCTTGTCAAGAGAAAGGGGTAATCCACTCTTACTCAAGAAAAACAAAGCTTTGATATTGTAAGTGTACTCTTGTCAATCTGTCAAGGACAAAGACTCGATGTGGGAAAATATACACAAAAAGGCTATCTCGATATAATAAGTCAAAATGTAAACAAGTAGGTATATTAAAAAGAAACTGGAATGGCTATTGCCACAAGACAAGAAACTAAAGACTCTTGAACCTGGACTAGAAGCAAAAAAGGAGTTGACAAGAGTGAAGAAGCCTTCACTCTTCTCTCTATATATACTATCTAACTAGGGGCTACGTGGCGACGTTCTATAGGACCTCCAATATGTGTTGACTTTGTAGGACACATGCCTTGACTTACAAGGCAAGTTTTTCTACGTATGGGCCACATAGTTAGCTTGAACTTCAAGCTAACAACATGTGTGGCACATGGCCAACTTGTTGACCACGTTTCTAATCCAAAAAGTCAATTAAAGACATCTATGAAGTCAAAGCAGCGTCTAGAAAGTTTCTAGGAAGCTTCTATATTAAATATTATAGAATTAACTTACTTTTATCTACTTTTACTTACTTCTACATATTTCTATATGTAATTATTAGCTTACATGATTATGGCCGTGACAATTATTGGCCAAGTTTCTAACCTACCAAATAATTACAAATACGCATGAAGTCAAGTAAGCATTTCTGAAGCTTTGAAGAAGCATCACCATAAGATAATATCAAATCTACCAATAATTACCTTCTATCTATTCATATTATCTGGATAGTTATTAGCTTATATATATATATATATATATATATATATATATTTATGTCCATAACAACTTATTAGTAGCTTGAATAAGTTAACTATGTGGCGCACATATAGAAAACTTATCATGTAACTTAGATACATGTCTTATAAGTTAGACATGTGTTAGAGGTCCTGTAGAACCTTCACCACATAGCTCCTAGTTAGATAATATATATGGAGGCAAGAATGAAGCATTCTTCACTCTTATGAATGCCTTTCTTGTCATTAGTCTTATTCAAGTCTTTCTAGTCTTCTTGTTTTTTGGCAATAGCTATTGTAGTTTCAATACTGTATTAGTTTTGAGTGAATATCTTATCTTTCTAAGTGATACAAGATTATATTGAGTTTTTCTTTCTTTGAGGTTTATGTCCTTGACACTTTCTCATCTAATATTTTAAAGTTGCTTTGAATATTATTTTTACATATGAATCTCAATTTTTTTTAAAAAAAAAAACTACTATTACTGTTTTTATTTCTATTCTAATTTTACAGTTGTATCAACAACTTAAATAAATCTTCCAATCGTCACAATCCATTCAGGAATTTTATTAAATAAAATCGTAATAATTATAACAACGTTATAAATTGTCTCATATGGAGGCCCAATTGCAAAGAAAGGGGGGTTGGGTGGTAGCAGCGGGACTGCATACCGAGTGCGATCGACATTAATTGTAATACAACTAATGTGGGCGAATTTGTAGGTCGATAAGTTGCACTTTTGTGCCTTCTTTTGTGCCTTCCGTTTAAGGCGCTTCATCGCTACTTAATGGCAGGGCGAAGACCACAACCCAATCAATTTAAAGGAAATTTGAAAATAGGCAGAGGAAAGGGAGAAGTCGCGGTGCCCACGCTGGAAAGATCGTCGCGGAGGGGAGGGGAGGGCTACGATGGCGACTCGTAACAGCCGGAATATGATATTTGAGAACTGGGTTTCTTTGATGTGATCGACGCGGGGTGCATAAGAACATGGGTTCTGTTACGTTTCACGAGATGAAACCCTAAGTTAGGTCTATACCCCGCAGTCTGTTTTTCCTGGGCAACACGAATCTCACTGTCGTGGCACACATTTTGGAGTGTCGATTGCTGCACCAGGTCCGGAATGCTGCAGCCTGTCAGGCTGTGTTCTTCGCCCCAGGAAACGGCGCAATGCTGTTGGGGTTGCCGTTTTTTATGGGGTGAGTGGACAGCGGTGAGTTGGGGCTGGATCTTGCATCTGTTTTGTGCCAATAGCGGCGCAGCAACCTGCGGCCCATGTGACGATCAAGGCTTGTCGATTAATCGATGCAAGTTGGAATCGAGCGCACGGCAACAGCAAACCATGTTTGGAGTTTAAAATAGCGACGGTGCCTGTAATTGATCCTGAGAGTGATTCTGAACATTCTGGAAACGGAAATTATAATTGCAAGAATAAATTTTCCATGTTCGAGCCACCAGGGCTCTCCTGGAAATTGTAAGGTCTATTGCTATATTTGAAGAGCAGGATCTCAAATAGGCTCTGCGAATGCCAGCGCCCGGGCTAAATTATCGGGTACCCATTATGTCATTCCGACTCGGACTGGGTTTTTGCAATGGAATTGTCACCCTTTCGGACTCACAGCAGTAGTGCAGCGTTAACGAAATAATGATTGGAGTGAAAGGACGATTGTGGTGAAAGTTCATATCATAGGGTTTGGAATTCGTCTTTAAATATTGGATATTGCCAGCGTGGTTACCTGATAACTTTGCGGTGATGGTTATTAATGAGCATTGCGTTGGGATATGAAAGCTGTATCAGCAGTTTTCTAAGGGATTGGAATTTAGAAGTTTAATTAATCGTGAGCGTGGATAGGCTGGCCGGGAAAGGAAGGTCGTGGAAGTCTGGGGTCATAAATGCGGGAGATAGGAGTTGCAATAAAGACAATCTGTGTAAGTGTTTACATGGTTGCAGAGAAGGCGGACTTCATCATTTATGTGGCGTGTCCGCACCCGAGACGATGGCAATAGCATCGAAGCTAGTAGAGTGATCTTTGTGTCCGAATTCAACCGTTGCAGCGACTTTCATCTCCAAAAAGCTGAATCTCAAACCTGGCATGTTGATTGAGGTTGACAATCCTTTGTATTGCCTTTTCATTTGTCTCACTTTCCCTTGTAACAACAGCTCGTGGGGGTGAAGTTTTGATGTTGGATTTCTCGATGCTGAACCCTCGTCTCGTCGACGATCGTCGATACTCTCTTCACACCTCCCCCTCACTCTCAACTGCAGCTTCTCGCGGCTGCGATAATATAGCTTTTGCATTGTCCTCGCGAGGAAGGGCATGTATTAGATTTGATCGCGTGGAGGTACTGGCTATTATGCCGTGCTGGTGCCTAGGTGGGTTTGCTTGGCGATGAGAGAAAGGATCTAAGCTACAGCGATTGAACCTTTGGTAGGACTGTTGACATTCTGAGTGCCATTTTGGGGTTGAGGCTGAGGTCGTCATCTGCTTAGTCGCGGCTCCAGTTTCTGCGGCAGTGTCAATCTTCAATGTTGCATTCTGTCCATAATTTTGCAGTTTTATTTGCATTCTCCACATGCTTTTAGAATTACATTTTCTGCTAGTATATCACGTGTGATATTCAACTACGCATTTTGTCCAAGATGTCCCATTGAAGGCTTACCCAATATTACAGTGTTTCCTTCTTGCCGCACCAACAGTATATCTATCAGGACTTGTGTTCCGCAGTACGTGTATTCTACTGAGTGTTTTTTCCTTCTCGATTGCTAATTCTATGAAAATGGGTCTCCCTCTCCCTCTTTGCCCTCAAGATGCTGAACGATTGCCTAATTTATTAATTTCGGAACATCTCTGAAGAAATATACCTGAAGCAGTAGTACTGGGTACTAAATTTTCTGTCTAGTGGACGTGGAGCATTCCCTCCGAAGGCATTGAAGATTTTATTTTCTTGTATGCAACATCACTTGACGAGGGATATCGTATGTGGCAATCATTATGTTTCTGAGATTCTTTCATAATGCATTTGGCAGTTGTGAATCCAACCTGACCGAGTGAATGAACCACAACGTAATCTCCAACCATGATAATCGACAACTGTCGGGCTAGTGTTGTCAACACATGTTAGCTCTCCTCGGTGCCCAAGTTGCGTATAGTCGCTGAAAGGATTCGGTGTTGCTTTGAGCTGCTGAAGAGACTGCAATATTGCTTCTACATTTTGGAATTAGAATTGAGGACGGAAGTGTTGGGAAGCAGGTTGTACTCCTAGTAGCGACAATCGTGGATCTGGGTATGTTAATCTTATTGAGGGGTGAATGAGGAGATACTGCATTGACAATGTAGTTTAAATTGCTTTGCTTTACGGAAGTTAGCGGAAATACTGAGTTTCATTCGGCTCTCACAGAAGTTTGATGATCACTTTGAAAAACAATTCTATTTCAGGGGAATATGGCGAGTGACCTCCCAAGTCAGTCTCGAATTGGGAAACGCAGCCCTCGGAATGGCTTGGTCTTTGATTTTATTAAGATCTCTGAAGGGCTTGAGAGGAAGCACCAGGCATGCAGCCATCCGAAACCGAAGGGAAGTATGCGCGCGCCTAGTGGACCAAAGAATGGTTTGGAAAAAGGAATTTTCGGGTCAGACGCCCTGGTAGAGCTGAAGAAGCACACGAAGTTGACGAACAGAAGTCGTTGTATGCGACCACTTTTAAATGTGATACATTTTGTGGAGACATACAACCGGGTTCGCTGGCGTAATGGCGACTTTGGGGCTAATGCTCTACCTCTCAAGCCCTCTGACCAACATCACACAGATTCCTTGAATCACAAGAAGTCTTACGCTTGGTTACGGTGGAGGTACAAGGCCGTTTCCTGCCTTCTTTCCATGAATCAATGTCTTCTGTTTTAAAAGTAGTTTTACAGGTTGTGAAGTCCACTCCCGAGCGTTCCGTATTGAATGTAGAACTCTTTTGCTGAAATCTCTCCATTGCTAATATACTTGAAACCCAATTATTGACTGTTGCGGTTATGCATCTACCCCACGGTGTCGTCTGTAATGAGCTAATGATTATTATATTCCCAATCCTCGGTGTTTGGGTACTGATTCGTATCACTTCAGGTGGCGTTGTCTAATGAAAATACCTGTAACATGCAGGAATTTAGGTCATGCTCAAAGCACTGTTGTAGCTTACTGGTCGAATTACATCAAGGATGCAATTTTAAAGACAGACTTGGAGACACTAGCGAAGGTCCATAATGGTAAGCAATTTTCCCAAATGAAGAGAAGTATTTTATTGTAACGTGCTGAGAGATGCCATTCTCAAGAGAAAAATCCACAGAGATTGGAATTTAAAATCTCTGGCTTAATTCTTCACCTAACACTAACATGCGTATCATGTCTTTTGATTTGGTACTCTATGTCAGGAGACGTCCGGGGATCTGGCAAAGAACAGGCATTGTACCTCTGGAGGAAAGTGTTGCGTTGTCTTCAGCAAATTGATCCTATTGCTTTCAATAACATTACTACTATTCTCACGGCTCAAAGCAATCTTAGAGGTGTGGATACTGGCGTGAACTGTAGGTTTTGTCAGCGTGGTCTCCAACCGACTGTATTTTCTTTTATGTCATTTTAATTCTCTTGAACGACACTTGATACGTGGACTAAGCATCAGCTTTGTCTCATGAGTTCCTAGTTATGTGTTTGTCTTCGAAAGCGCTTCTTCATAGAGTCAAGTTGAGTTAGATGAGGCTCCAAGCATGAGAGTCATCTTTGGGCTAGTAATTGCATGATGATTATGGAAGGCAAAGAAACATTCATATAATTTGTGTGACGTGAATATGCAGACCGAATCTTCAAAGCATCAGACAGCAAGCGAGGATTCTCGATGGCAGCTAGAACTAGTAGATCCTACATTTCTTCCACAACTAGGAAATCCAGCAGGGTGCCTTCTCCGTTACGTAAAAGCAAAGTTCGAAAGTCTAGCAAAGGTAGACTTCAAAGGTCTGGGGGAGCTCCTCGAACACCTACTAAGATAGGAGCAAAGAGCCCTAGAACTTTTCCAAAATCCATCGACTCAAAGCGTGTCGCCCCCATTGTTCTTCGTAGAACGCAAATTAGATTTAAGCGTCATCCGTCTGGCGAAAAGATGTCCCGTCGATTACAACATCGAAGTGCTCTTCGTTCGGGTCACCGGGACGTTTCCTGGTCAGCTGACCGAGCAAAAGCAGCTATTTTGATTCAGGTTCATCTGAACGCTCTCTTACCTGCTTAGAGTCACGGGAAAATGTCACTACTGATTAAGATATGATTCAGGGCTAAGTTAGTTGCAGTAGTCTAAATGAAATCAACCACCTTTGATTCAAAATCTGAAAAGCGGCTCTATGTTTTCAGAGCTATTCTGCAGTCATCTTATCAATTACTTGATGTAAATATTGTGCAGTCGCAGTGGCGAATGTTTTTGGCTAGACGCAGTCACCGTATCCTCCGACATGCAGCTATCACAATTCAAAGACGATGGCGAGAATCCAGGAGACTCTCCAGTCGCACCAATTCCGCACTTGATGTCACAGGTAAGGAAACGGTTACTTCGAATTTCGTTAAGTTTTTCTTCTATAGGATTTGATGATCCCGTGTTTGATAACTCGGGCGGTGAAACATTGTTCAACGTGTTTGGTGATATATCTGCAATAACTTTCCGAAGTTCATTTATGATCCAGCTATTAATATCTGTTAGAGAAAGGCAGGATCTTTCAACTTGATCAAGACGTCAACCTGTGTGCGTTGCCACCTATTCTGTGATGGTTAAAGCGGGTCCTAATTTGAACATGCTGTTCGTTCTTGCAGGGGAAGACATCCAAAAAAGTTCGAATACACTCGGATGTCCCTTTCGATGTCTCTACGACTGTGACATTTCAGCAACACAAGAAGATGAGATTTTTGACGAGTTTTTAAGTTTTTTACCATGTGGCGAGCAGGACTCTAGTGTGAATGGCCTCTCCACCACTCTGACCTCCATTTCTCCTTACTCGTCTGGGTTCTCTAGCACAGTATTGGCTGACGATAGTGGTAAAGACCTTCAATCACCTTCTCCGTCTAAGACTAGGACGTCGAACTATGATTCCTGCAGTCTAGATAGTCCTGCGTGTTCACCTGCGAAGGAACTTACATTTGCTAAAATAAGCATTGAAGGATCACTTCCTCCAACACCTATCAAAGAATGGAGTTCGCGAAAGCGAGACCCTACCAAGAGCTCACCATCAGTCCCAGTTATTTTGGAGCCAAGTACTGATGACGTGGTTGAGCTTCACCACTCCCCCACTAAAGACTGGGCTACACCCGTAACTAAAGGTCGGAAGTCGACTCTGCTTCTTGAAGGATCTCCTCATTCTGAATCAAAAATGGAACCGGTCCAACTTCTAGTCGAGTTCATGAATCCTGAAGAATCTGACACAACTGATAGCGATCGGGACAATCCCGAGGTGACGAGCATTCCGCTTTCTACTTCATCAGATCCTAACATGAAATCCCTTCATGGTTGCATAGTTCCAACTCCGAAGGAAGATGGGGTGGTGCCTGTTTCTCGAGCACTAGCATACACCCCCGATGATCTGAATACCAATGTACCAGCGAGGGTTCTTGATTCTCCACTATCACCTGCACTGGAGGAAGAACTCCTGGATGAGCTCTCTAAGCTTTTTGAAAGTTCGCCCGATCCAGTAGTACCTTCAGATCCTTTATTCTCACCATCTTGCAATGGCAGATCTGTTGATGACTCGTTTTGTCCGGGATCAGTGGGATATTCTCAACAGAAGACCTTTATCAGAGTGTGTAATGGCGCTTTTGTAAGTGATGATTTCTCACATTCAGCAAGGAAACTGGATTTCAATTTAGACGACGTTGATGAACTGGGAGATTGTGAAGGCAACCTAGGAGCATGCCATTACAATCGTGGGGACAAACCTTCAGATGCCAACTCGGGCAATATTATTAAAGACCTCGAAGAAAGATCACCCCCTGTCTCCGCATTGCCGAAACCTACTCTTCCAGAGCCAACCATATCTGATTCACATGACGCAGGGGACATGGCTGAGCAGAACGATACTAACTTCCTTGGGTTATATGATGAGTTGGACGATGTAAGAGCTTCCAGAGATTCTCGAAGTTACAGTAAAAGATGTCAGGCCACAGTTCAAGACTTTTTGCAGCTTGTGGAGCAAAACCATGGAACTAGAGATGGTGTTTCTGAAACTCCTCAAAGTGGCTTTGAAAAATCCCAATCTACTTATTTTCAGGTTTCGGGATCTCCGCTGTCCACATCTGAAGGTGAGGACGACTTCTGTGACAAGGCTGTGGATGGGAACGTTGTTGCTGTGCAAGATGCAATTCTCCAACCTAGGGATCTCTTGCCCAATACATTTGAGGACCCAATCGAGTGGGAAGTTGTGTTAGATTCTGAGTCTCATAAAAAAGTTGTAGACGAACCTCTTAAATGTGGGTCTGTTGATCGGTACGACACCAGCTTCAGCAGAGACTACAGCAACTTCGTTACTCCTAAAGTAAGCCGATCTAGGAATGTAGTTACAAGATCCTGTAGTGCGATTTACAGATCCAAGCCTCCATTGCCTAAGAAAAGTAGGCGAATCTCCTTCGATGAGAAAGGGCACAAATTCCACGAACACCAGACTCCTCCAGATGAAGATAGGTGTGTATCGTCGGAGAGGAAGGTTTGTGAAAGATTGCTTCATACCAGTCCCGCTTCCCCTGATACTCCGCTGGTCTCGTACAACCCCGTCCTCAGCAGTCAGGAGAGATCAAGCTCTTTGTCTGTGTCGAAAAAGTACTTTCTGCAGAGTCCATCTTCAAGAAAACGCCATGGAAAAGGCGACTCTGATACGGAGAGTGCCGCTTCCTCGACATGCATATCTCCCTCGAAGTTGGATTCGAAGTTTGATGTTGTCGAGAAGGTACGCGCGAAAGCTTCCCCAGCGTTCAGTTGCGAGGTATTTACTTCGCTTGGTAGTTGTACATCAACGTGTCAAAGTTCTATATTGTCAAATTCATATCTTTAGGGTGGTTGACTTGTATACTTGCTCTTATTGTTGCATTAATGTAGTGCATTATTCTGATTCATACTGACATTAGTGAGAAATTTAAATGGTCCTGTTACGCTATCAATAATTTTTTTTTAAACTTGTGTTTTCGTTCTGTGGTTTTCTCATCACAGGAAGTCCCTTCTAAACATGCTGGAGCACTATTCACTGGTGATGAAGCATTAGTATCCAATTCGACTAAACATGCTTTTCCACCGCCGGAGGTTTCTAGTAAAGTGTCTGAAAATGGAGTTTTGAAATCTGAAACTGACTCTCAGTGGGACGATGTTCTTCATTACTCCTGTTTTGAAGACAATTATGAAGCCATGCTCAAGCAGAAAGATTGTCATCGTGTTTGGTTCCCAGAGGAACTCTCTGATCCTTCACTTCTTACAACTGGAGAACAATTTGAGAGTTTTAGAAGAAGCTCTTCTTCTTATTGGGATTGTGGATTGATGACATTGATTTCAGACGGCGGATTGATGCGCGCAGAGAACTCTGCCCCTTCCCTGCATGATTTATGCAAACTGTGGGATGACAACTGTATCGACCTTGTGACGAGATCGCTCAAATTCAAATATTTGGTGACCAATCCTACTCTTCTCCGTCATGAGGTAACCATTGTAGTTTCTCCGTTCGCCTAAAAACTGATTTGAAGCCATGAATCTTTTTGTCACCAATTGGTTGTAGCCTGTTCCTTTTTCTCGCTTGGACTCTGATATTGTTGGCATGTCACTTCACTATAGGTTTTAAGCATATGTGAGGAAAGTTGTCTGCATTATTCAAAAACGATCCATTCTTATAGGATAAATGTTTGTAGGGCTCAAACATCGTCTGGTTATGGCAGGTAAAGATGGCATTTAGTAACCCAGATCTCTCCAGTCCAGAAGCACATTCTTGGGAGGTTCCAAATATTGAAAGACTGCAGGAGAGACTGGAAAGTCGGGAGTCACTTAAGGAGCTTATTAAACAGCAAAGGGATGCTATCTACATCAATATTGCAACGAATGCAAGCATGAGGGAGCGGTATCGATTGTATAGTAAGTGGGGAATCCGCAGGATGTCGACAGGGCGGTTGAAGAAAATTATTTATGATCTGCTCTGGAAAGATCCCAAAAGGTTAGGATTTCGACAATTGCTGCGTTGCCTGTGTGAACTCTGCCATCAGTTTATCTGTCTTTCCATCATTTCAGCTATTTATTACCCACAGCTGTGGGTACAATGGAAGGAGTTGTAGTACAAAAGCGCCGTAGTGCAAATGGTTTAGCATAACCACATACTAAAAATTGACTTTTGTTTGTTGCAGATTTCAGGCAAGTGCGGACCTCGTACTGCAGTATCTGTAATCAAATTTGCAGGTAGTTTTATCAGCTTACCTATCTGTTCATCGATGCAGATGAACACACCGATAGATTCAAACCATCACGAATGAGGATTGACGGCCATGTACAGAAGCATAGGAGTTTTGTAAAGAGTAGGTCCTTTCCCTTCTGTGAAAGAAGCAGACCGACTTAGCAATCCTTAACTCGTAACAGTAGACTTCCTATTTAGATCAGAGAACAATTTTTCGCTCCAGTTCAGTCAAATCCTTCAGAATATGTAGCTTCTCTTCGCAGTTGAAGAACGCGCCTAAGAACTGAGAAGCTACTAGCGAACAATAGCCTTCCTCTCTTTGGAATCTCTGCATAATTTCTATTTTAAGCTATGATTCAGCTCGTAAAGTGGAACGTTGATAGTCTCTTCTCCTGAAGTCTCCCATCTTCTGCTTGATGTGACTCACTAAACAGCATGTGTGTTTAAGCTGAAGTCTGTCACCTCTGAGTGTCGCATGAAAATGGCAATAGGACTCAAAGTAAAAACTGTTCAAGAGCACCTTCCATAATTTATTCCTTCCGAATGTGCTGTTTTCCATTATAAAGCCATGGGATATGAGCTCATTATACCATGGGAATATGCTAGGTACCAACCATAATTATTTTCTACGACCATGAATGTTAATAACTATATTAAATAATATCAGGTAGCAAGAGTAAATTTGTTACGGTTCCTCAACTATTCCAATTGCATCTAAAAGTGCTCAGATAAACAATCCCAATTCATTTTTTCGAAAAGTGACGAAATATTTCCCTACAATGAGGCCAGTTTCCAAACTTCAATATCAACTGTAAATTGGTGTATTATCCAATACAATGGAATTCAAACTCTTGGTCAACACTCTCCGAGTTCTTACTTCAAACTACAAGGTGAAGTTACATTGTGAATAACGGTAAAATCCACTTTTCTAAACTCTACCGTGGCAACCCAGACATCTACACCTTTTCACCGGCACCTGTTTCTAAGCTCGTCATAATATGACAAGAGGATAATGATTGTTGTACTCAGCTCTCTAAAATGAATCGAGTTAGGATTTGAGCTCTGCAGTCAGACGTCTGGAATACTGATAAACCCTCATTTTCCACATAATAATGTACTTGTAATGACAACTAGAGTGATTGTATATGCTGCAGCACAACTCACTCAGATGCTGCAGGAGGCGACGACTTTTCTGCAGGAGGCGACGACTCCCCTGCAGGAGGCGACGACTCCCCTGCAGGAGGCAGCGACTCCCCTGCACCAGTCTCCTCTGCTGATAGAGGTGCCGGCGTCTCTGGTGATGTTTCAACGTCGACTTCGGACCCAGACTCGTCCTGTTCAGACAGCTCTGATGCAAGGGGCCCGTGTTTGGCAGCTGCTTGAAGGACACGATCTTGGACAGCGAGTGTTGAAGGAGCAGTGGCGAGCTGCAAAGTTGCGGGTTGCACTTGGCCCACCAGCCATAAGATTCTATCTCCGATAGACTTGAAAGGCTTTTGAAGCAATCTACAAAAGAAGCGAAGGGACACTCGCGCGTTACGGACAGTCGAAGTTTTCACATAGAAACCTTGAGGACAGTGCAAATACCTAGATTGAGAAATAGTTCGTAATATCGAGTAAATTTCCGAGTAACCGTAGAAATTTAGGAAGTTTTCAGAGATCTATCACTAAATTTAAGTCACAAAAATAACAAGGAAAAGACCTGAGGTCAGCTTTCGCATCCTCCAAACTCTCGTAAGAGTTAGCCCTTGTGTAGATTGCCTGCAAGATTTAAACACTCTCAACCATGAAATCTTACAACCACCCAGTAGCAAGATTCAAACACTCCTAATCCGCTCCTCAAAGATACGGAACTATAACAAACTTCTGTGCAAGCTTATTACCTCGCGTAAAAGATGAAAATAGCAGATTACGAAGCAACTTGTGACAAAGTTTTCAAACACTCAGATTGTTGATGATGAGGGAAAATAATACCTGACCAATACCGATTACTCCCAAAAGCTGCAGAGCTTTCTCCCATTCTGTGGAACAAGTTTCTCAAGGTGTTAGCACCATGATCATAATGAGTTCCACGCAGTCATACGTGTTAGCCAACACAATAACTGATATTTAATTGATGTGCAAAGAGAAATCATTTGAAATATATGGTAAATGATCAACACTATGGCTTACAAACGCTGTGTATGCCGAGTACTTACCAAGCACTGCATATATGCCCGCCACTGTACCCTGCATCCATCGAGTTTAAGATTTAATAATTTCTCTACCTCTAATAAATCACACTCGGATGAACAGAGATTTATTGAGTCAAACTTCATAAAGATAAACAGAAATAAGAATTTTGACCACTTGCATGAATTTCCTTCTGCAGGTTCGTTCATCCATACAACATTACCAACTCTAAATGTAGAAAGTGTTCCATCGTACCAATGCAACAAGTACGATCCCATCAGGTGTAGGCTTTACTTCCTCCACGATCTCCTCGGCGTCCTAAATGTTCAAGATGGTGCAGCAAAAACGTATCAATTAATAAAATTAGAGCTCGAAATAGGAGCTCTACCGTGCATTTTCTCGCTACCAAAATTACTTCCAAACATGAAGCTAAGCTCTACTATAGAGTTCATGTGAAATAATATCTATTATTGTAAAGACCAAGCTTTCAGTACAAACAAGTTCTATGTTACAAGACACAATATTGTCTTCACCGACAACAAATTAGAAGAATCATGACAAATAGGACAATTATCTAAACAACGAAAGAAAGAGTACATCCGCCCAAACATATAAGAGGAGGCTAATCGCACATCTTTGCTGACACTACGTAGACTGAGAAGCATCTCTATCTTGACATGATCTGTTACCTCCTTAAGTATAGATATGGGAGTATCTGTGCCCTCCAGCTTTGTCCGCAAGCCGGCGGCTGACCAGGCCTTGTATCCCCCTTCCACTCGGTATCGCCTCTGTTACCATAACCCCCCATGAGTAAGCCGTAAATCTCAGCCAGTGAAAAAGTTTTGAGCAAAAGATTCCAGGCCGTAATCAACACGTCAAAATGCTACGTGAACGAAGTTTTGCAAAGCAACATCCATTAAGTATAAACTAAAGTATAATGGTTCAGCCAAATCATTACCCTCACTCCAAATCTGCGTAAAGCTCTAGCAATCTCCTTCGATTGACTCCCATCGGTGTCCATCACGATCACCTTGGTACTGGGCTGTAAGCAAACAAAAATTCAGCAACAATATACAGTGATCGACATGCGGCATCGCCACAAGTGAATCTACAAGGAAAGCTACAAGAACTTCTTTACTCTGTGAGAACAGGTATAATCTCTTACAATAAAGGCCAAAGTAATCCAGTTAAAATCATCATCATGGACATCTGGTACACAACATACAGAACACGCCGATCAGTTCGTCCAGAAGCAAATAGCCACTAACCTGCACAGTTTTGAGATTCCGGATCACAGCTGCTGTCAAGATATTGTCAATTTCCTTGGAATTTCTCACACTTTTCCTAAAGGGGCCGTCCACCTGCAAAATTTGCACTATCCACTCATCAACTTTGAGATGAAACCTAATTTACATGTGTCGAAATACAAATGAACAGCACGTCTTTTGACGATGAGAATGTGCGATGCGATCCTAATAGTCGAAAAATTAATTCCTAATTTCAATTGTTCGGAATATATTGACACCTACCAATATCCTTGAGCATTCCAGCAGTGTTATAGACTAGACTAACGAACCTGAATGGCTTCAACAGTGGCAAATCTTGTTCTCATTCCTCGCCGTAAATCAGGAATACCTTCACTCTCTCTTAACTCCTGTATTGCATAGATTTGAAACATTAATCACTAGAAGCTTGCGTGAAATATTAACCACCACACCACAATACGCTCACTAGCTCATCGACCAAAATTGACATACTCTCATATGTAAATGCAGACAGAAATGACTTGCTACATAGTCAACTTAATGAGACACTGTTTAAGATCATTTAATGATCAACGAACTCAGTTTACAAAGAAGGAATATCGTTCATGCCTGGGGCCGTATGTCAACTAAGACAACATTTCGCTCTTTCTTCAAGAGGTCGATAGCAGAGACGGGCAAAAGGTCACCAGAGTATCCTCCATATCTGCCCTGCCAAAAAGATACTCTGCCGTACACGCACATAGATGGGAAGTGTCAACTCAGCGTTCCTGCGTGTAAATTAATACGTAGACACAACTAACAAGTAGACAAGATTGGCGCGTAAGTTTAACTGCCCATACCCAAGGTAGAGTGTACCACCCAAAATCAGAATAACAGGAATAATTGGATTCTCTGGATCCACTCCTAGTGCTCTCTCCACGTTCTCGAGAGCATCGTATGCCTGCACGCAGACGTCTTGCACCTTGAATAACGATGAGTGAAAACCACAGTCTAGAGGCACCAGAAGTCCAGATTATAATCAAGACGTAGCCTTCTAAAGGAATGCTCTTTAAAGATGGAATAAATGGTAGAAAACATTCCTCATTCTGTTGGAAGATTTCATTCCATATCAACCAACGCAATAGGTCCACCCACCTGTTGGAGGAAACTACCCACAGGATCGGCGATTTCTTTGAGTTTCTGCTCTGTTTCACTCAAGGTTGATTGAACCTCTGGGGAAAGGTTATTAACCTTAATTGAGCCATAAACATTAATCAGAAAATCTCGAGTCGTCTCTAATGTCGTCCCTAATGCGCCCTTCACAACCACTACTACTTCTTTAAGTTGATTATTGAGAGGCGTGCCTGTGCGGAACACACTTGTTAACCCTGCAGCTTCTCCTCCAGCTTTTTTCACGGTGCTGTCAACTGAAGTTTGGATGCCGTCTACAGTTCTATCGTATAAGCCGGTCACTGAATTAACTGAACCCTTGATAGACCCATTGAGACTCTCATATGCATCCCTTATGGCTTTACCAGCAGATCCAACCGAGTCGTTTATAGCATCCTGAACATCTGTGAGAGTCTTCGCTACTGATTCCTGAGCAGCCTCAATGGAGTCAGGAAAACTAAATGAGTTAGCATCGTCCTCCACAGCTATAGGTTTTCTCGCGCCTCCACCACCATTTCCACGATTGATCATAGCTTCATAGCGCTGGAGAGGTGTTAGTTCCCCAGGATTATCGACAGATTCACCAGCAGCTTTTATAACATCAGGTACATCCGTTCCTGCGGACTCTACAATACTGGCTGGAGCAGACTCTGCAGGAAGAGTCTGTGGAGCGGTTGCGTCGACAGATGACACTATTGGTTCGGGAACATTCAGCTCTGTGCCTGTTCCCTGAAATACACCCAGGGAGGTTTGTGCATCAACAGCTGCAGGAGACGGAGAAGAAGAGTCCAAGTTCTGGGGAGGAGACTGAAGAATTTCTGTCACATTTTGTCTCATGATTGATGCTGCATCATTGGGCTGCATTGCGACATCCAACCACCAATATTCACAATACTCAGGAGCTTCTCACAGAGAAGTCGTTTGGGCAAAATATAGTAAATGTAAAAAGAGTACCTCAATTTCTGAACCAACTGGAGAAGTACTGATCGTGGCAGAGTCAATGAGCTGCTGCTCCGCTCCAATGACTGCATAATCTATCTCAGCAATGGCTAACAATCTAGACCTCCTGCCGCTGCCGCCCCTCGGTAGTGAAACGCTGTCAAATTTGAACAATGGCTTTCTACCCAGAATAAACTTAGAGCGCAAAAGCACTGATGCATTTGCAGTGGAAGCATTCCCTTTCTGCTGCCATTTCACACCAAAAGTTAAGGCAAATACACAAATGTTTTCGCAAACGAATCGCACACAAGAATCAATTCCCAGAGAATCAAATACATCGTCATCCAAACTACGCAATCTCAATTCTCCGGACATTACTGAACCATGTCTTACACGCTCACTAACACCGAACGGAATTCGATAAGCTCAATTCTTGAGAAACACGAGGAATAAAAATTGAAAGAAAAGATAATTGCCACAGGTATTGAAAATTAGTGCTCCTAACCAGCAGGGGCGTATACACAAGATGCGCAGCGCCGCGACACGAAGCCGCTGCGCTGGACACTAAGAACAACGACTGCGCCATGGCCGTTGGCGCGGGTGCCCCAACACGCAGAATTGATGGCAAAAACTGGTCCTGCACCAAAACACGTCGACCACCCCGCGAATTGAAGCTCAGTCCATTAAGGGCGAGCAGGAGAGCATCACAGCGTCCGGATCCTGGACGAGGCTGGCGTGGCCATGCTCGAGGGTAGAATCGGGAGAGAGAGAGAGAAAGAGAGTTAGGCTGGTAACGCGAATCTAGAAAGGGGAGCGGAGCACCACAAAGAGATTGACGACGCTGGCATTGCGAGAGTCGCCATTGGGACACTCCGGATTTGGACCTGTCGATAAGGTGCCCCACCCTCCCCTGCCCTGCCCGCTCCCCCCAACCCCGTGGACGAACTAACGAACGAATGTCGCTTCCCCCCGCCTCCTTTTCATTCACTCACACATTCATCCATTCCCCTCCCCCTCATGGCGCCTTTGACGTTGACTAATATTTTCCACTTCTTTAGACTTGGATACCAAAGAGCGTCATGGATTAGTAAGTTGAATTAATGACTTCGACATTTTACATTGTGGAAAGTTTGAGAATTTTGATTTTCCTTAAAACAAGTGTAAGTATCAGCTGTTGAGGTAGCTTTTAATCTTGTGAGTTGCAAGAAGATTAAGAATAAGGGAGATAACCTGCTTTGAAATATCAAAATTATGTCCATGAAAAACCACAAGTTTTGACACCAAAAACAAACAAACAAAAACAAGAAATTGAAAAAGAAAAACTCAATAGAATATGTGTTTTCTTTCTAATGCTTCTTCACCCTTCTTCTTGTATTTTATGTATTTGTCTCCATGCTATGTAGCACAAAACAAGAATTTAAAAAAAAAACAAAATTCTTAATAAAATGAGACCATCTTTGTAAAAAATTTGTATCTCTTTTCATCTCTACTCTAAAAGAAGAAATAAATAAATTATAGTAATATATTTTTATATTAAAAAAGATATTTTATTTTAAAATAGATTGGCTGTAGAATTTTTAAAATCTCACATTTTTATTTTTATTTATTTTAATTTTTTATTATAAGAGAAGATAACCACAAGATTATAGATACTTAAAATTAACTTTTGATAAATAAATGAGAACTTGTCATGTTCTTTTACAATTTGTTATCAAAATTTAGAAAAAAAAAAAAAAAAAAAAAAAAAAAAAAAAATGCATATAGAAAAAATCATAACAACAACAACAAAAAAAAATTAGTTAATAAATCTATCTCTAAATTTTTTCTAATGGTTACTTTAATTTTTAATGGTTTTAAAAATAATGAGCAGCTTCTAAAGTAATAGAGCTTTAATAAAAAAAAATGAAATTTAAGACGTTGTTTGAAAACTCTTTGCAACTTAAGTTCATATAGATATGAATAAATCCACATTATATATAATATAAATTCTTAAGTTTGAAAAAGCTAACATATTTAATTAAATAATTGATACCTATTCAAAATTTAGTTTTATATAACTTGTTATAAATTTAAAATGTATAAATAAATTATGTCTATAAATTAACAATTGTAGAGTTTAGTTGTTTTGACCTCTTACTTTCACACATTGCTTCTCTATTACATTAGATGGTTATTTTTGTTTAAATAGATTTTATTCTTTGTAGAACTTAAGTATTGGAAAAACTAGAAGTGTTTACTTAAATATTACTTAGCATGCATAAGATTTCAGAATTAAACTACAATTGATGTAATTTAATATTTGCAAAGTATTCATGTTCTTTTTATTTCTTTTCTTTGTATTATACTCCCTCTCCTATAGGCAACCCATCTATCATTAGCCTACCTTCTAAATGCCACTTTTAACATCTTTTTGCTACTAGTATAAATACATTGATTTTTTTGAACTTTATTCAATCTAAAAAATATATAAATTTGTATCACAAACATACACATTTATTCAAATAGTTATTTATATAATTAGGTAGAAGTAGGTAAATATAGATAAATTTCATAAAGTCTTCTAAACTAGCTTCTTAGAAGCTTCATAGACGCAATTTTGACTTTAGATGTATTTATAGGATAGAAACTTGGCCAGCAAATTAACCACGTGTTGGTAGCTTGTAGAATAAGTTAACTCAGTGTAATAGCTTGTGGAATAAGCTAACTATATCATACATATATAGATAACTTGCCTTGTAAGTTAAAACATGTGGCTAGTAAAGTCAACACATGTTGGAGGTCCTATAGAATATTCTCACGTAACTCCTAGTTAAAAAGTATATATGGAGACAAGAATAAAGCCTTCTTCACTCTTGTCAATGCCTTTCTAGTCCTTAGTCTTGTTTTAAGATTTTCTAGTCTTTTTGTTTTTGGCAATAGCCATTCTAGTTTAATATTATATCAACTTTGAGTGACTTTCTAGTTCCTTTCAAGTGATATAGGAGTGTGTTGAGGATTTTCTTTCTTCGAGATTCATGTTCTTGATAGTTTGACAAGAATACTAACATACTGTATTTGTCTTGTTTTAGAAGTGAGTGAATTACCTCACTTCTATTGTTGTATTTTGAAGGTTGCGGATTATCCACCTTTAAATAAAAAAATCTTATTTTCTAACACTGATCTTTTCCTTAAAGAGAGTGGATTATCCTTCTTTGTGGACATTTTTAGAGGTTGTGGATTATCCTCCTTTAATATAACTTTTGAATTTGTTTGAGTTGTCTATGGAAGAAAAGATTATAGATGCTACTTTTAGTGGAAGTGAGAATAAATTTACAACTATTGCAGATCTTTATGAGCTTGTTCACACTATAAGAGTAGAAATTTCATATATTTCCAATGTGAATCATGAAAATACTATGCTTACGCCTATGGAAGAAGTTCAAAGTCTGCGATAAGAAATTATGCTGTGAAAGGAAGCAAGTAGATCGACCTCACAACTAAATCCATGGAATTTTGCTTCAACAAGTATATGTCAAGGATAAGAACTTGATAAAAATAAATAAACAAGTGAGACTTTTTTCAAAGAAATATGACAAAATAGAAATAATTAAATATGTATATATATATATATATATATATATATATATATATATATTAAGAAAGAAATTGAAATGGCTATTGTCAAAAGACAAGAAAACTAAAAATCCTTGAAACTAGACTATACGCAAGAAAGGAGTTGACATGAGTGAAGAAAGCTTCATTCTTGCTTCTACATATACTATCTACCTAGGAGCTATGTGGCGACGTTCTATAGGACCTCCAAAAACGTGTTGACTTTGTACAACATACATCTTAACTTACAAGGTAAGTTTTCTATGTAGGTGCCACATAGTTAGCTTGTTCTGTAAGCTATCAACATGTGTAGCACGTGGTTAATTTGTTGACCAAGTTTCTAACCTACTAATCAAGTATAAATACATGTAAAGTCAAAGCAATGTTTATGAAGCTTTTAGGAAGCTTTTCTAAAAGATATTATAAAATTAATCTATTTTTACCTATTTCTATCTATTCTTATCACCTAGATAATAATTACAATAAATATATATCCACAACATTACCACCCCTTTTAGGGACGAGTTCCAGGAGGAGTGATGATCACAAGTTGAGGAAGTTTAAGATGCAAAAAAATATATTTGTCACATACTCTAATCTTTGTTCTCTTCAAAGATGGTTAATAGGGCCTCTCATCCATTGATAGTGTTCTATTCCAAGCCGGGAAGACCACCAAGTTATTTGATCATTGTTGAGGCCTTCATAGCTTTCTTCAAATAAAACATTTGGAATACTGTCAAGAATTCTTCTTATTTCTAGTAAAATTACCAAACATCAGGAGTCCCTTCCAACGTCATGATACCAAATGCATTATATTTCACTATCTATTCAAGGAAGAATATGTCATTCTTGAAGATCTTCATCTCAATTGCATCGTCTTGAAGGTTGTAACAATCATAATGTCTTATCCGACAGGTCAGCAAACGAAAGGTCTTGAATCAAATCCACTAGTTGTTGGTTCTATATCTCCTCAGCATCACAACTACAAAGAATCTACAAATAAGGATTGAAAGTAGAATGTTATCTTACCTAGATCTTGTTTCTTTCATAAGAAAGGTTTTTATCTTGATTTTGATGGATGTCGTTGATAAAAAGCCTCCACCGCTTTTGGTGCATTTATGAGATTCTTTACTAGCTCCTATGTGCATTCACTAATATCATATCTGTGCCAATGGACAAGATATTCCAATTTATTTTGGCACCATCTTGAATCTAAGACTTCTTTTACTTTGAACTCTTCATTATTGTCCACTTCTATAGGAGGAGGTGGAGCTTGTCTTCTTCTTGGCATGTCCACTATCTTTTATGGTTCAAGAAGAGATACGTGGAATACTAGATGAATTTTCATTGACTCTGGTAGGTGCAACCGGATTGATTTGTATAAAAATAGAAAATGGTCTAAACCTTCAATAGTCCAACTTGTCACTAGGACAAGTGGTCTTGATATTGTGACAAAGTAACCATATCTTGTCACTCATGTGGAATGGTGGTTGTTCTTTTCAATAGACATCTACATTGATCTTTTGTTGTTCTTGAGCTTCTTTTAAGTACACCTTCATTGTTGCATGTAGCTCTGATAAATGATTTGCTAAGTCTTTTGCCATAGGATTATCAGCTTTTGAAAAATCAAAAGTATTAAGTCGTGGATGATAACTATAATTGACAAAAAAAGGTGTTTATTTTATAGAAGAATATATTGTGTTATTATAAGAAAACTCTACCAATGGCAAAAGAGTTGTTCAATCATCGTATTGATAGTTGATGGTACGTCTTAAATACTACTCTAAAACTTAATTAACATACTCCATTTGTCCATTAATTTGAGAATGAAATGTCAAAAATAGTTTTATATCCACTTTTAGAGTCTTGAAAAGAGTCTCCCAAAATCTTGATAAAAATTAGATTTTCCTATCTGATATAATATCCTTGGATAATCCATGATAGCGATAGATATTGTCAAGAAAGAGCTTAGCTATTTTTTCACATGTGATAGATTTTGTACATGATACAAAATATACTATCTTGGTAAAATGATCTACTATCACAAATATAGAATTATAAGAACCTGAGATTGGAAGATCTGTGATGAAATCCATAGAAATAGAAGACCATGGTTGTTCTGAAAATGGATAATGGCAGAAGAAGTCTGTAAGGTCGATGATGGCGAGTTTTTGATTTTGAGCAAACATCAAAAGATTGTACAAAATCGTTAACTGTCTTCCATATTTGGGGCCACCAAAAATCCCTCGAT